CATTTGAATTTAACAAGACATTTTATGTTTAAAGATACTTGATTCATCAATCGTTTTGCTTTAACGGCTACTACCCACCCATAACCGTATTTAAAAACTTAAAAGATTGGAGCTTTCTCATATTCAACCTAATTTTTTTTCCAAAAATTGAACTTCCGGATAGTAATAATATGTTGTCCGGGACATTATATTCTAAAGAATAAAGAATTATTCATATTACAAATTTAACTAGAAAGAGTTTTGAGATTCCGATACAGATAACAAACATAAAAAATTAAATATAAAAAACAATAGCTCTTCCACATATCATATTCTATTTATTATTTAATTCAAACAAACACAATATTATGACATTGTTAAATATTAGGAGATGTTTCAGGTAGATGAAACTATTCACTAAAATGATCCAACTCTGTAATTATTAATTGCATCTGTCATAATTTTGGGCAAGGACTGACCAAAAGAAAATTAAAAAGAAAAAAAATAAACTTGATGGCTCGTTTGTCACCACATCAACCATTATTCAACAAAAAATTGTCATAGGTTGCCTTAGTGGGGTGCACAATTGGGTACAAGTGACACTACCCCCAAATCTGCAAATTAACCCCCTCAGGGGTATGGCCACCTGAAAAATAAAAGAAAAAAATTCCCATACCATAAAAAAAATATTTAAAAAAAAAAATCTAAAATAGAGAGAGAGGCCTAGGGTTTTTCTTTTCGCATGAGTTGACAGGCTGAGCAATAGGAAGAGGTGGTGGTGCACTAAGCACCCACGCGCGCTGGTTAGCGCAGGGCCCACAAGAGGACACTATCATGCGCCCACCCCACATGTGTGTGTATGTTTGTGTGTGTGTGCCTACTTCTCCACGAAAATTATTGCTGTAATAATTTTGGTGTGTATTTTAAGGGTTTGTCTTTGGTCACTTTGATACCATAAAAAGTTGGGGGCGGTTAAATCAAGTACCCTTCCGTGCATGACTCAAACCGTTATTCTAGGGCAATGTTCCTTGTTTACCCTCCTTTTTACTATTTTGCCACCGCCCTTCCCTTGGATTTTAGTGGTCATCAGTCCAAAAGAAGAGGTATAATGGGAATACCATACAGATTTGGAGAATTATTTTTGTGAAGTAGATAAGATTTGTAAGCTTTAGCTTGGTGATGGGGAGGGAAGAAGATGGTTTAATCATTGCTCCTCATCACTCATGCCATGTTTATATGAGAACATAAACGGACTGGATATGTTTAGAATTTCCTGATAATTCTTTTTCTTCTTTCTCTTCATAGGTAATTTGATTACTTGAGCATGTATTATACTTGTATGATATACTGTGAATTTACCTTGTATTTTTTTTTTTTCCAGAAAATATTGTATATATAGATGGTGTATGTATAATACTAATGGTTTAACTATATTATTTCCTTGAAAAAGAAACATTGCGATCTAATTGTATAAACAATGAACTCTGCCTACATATGAACAAAGAAATCTGGCCCACCATTTACCAGAAAACTACTACAACGAAAAAGTTGGTCATTTGAGTTTTGGTTATCTTGTCGTTTACGAAGGATAAAATTACTTTTTATTTTTTTAAAAGGAACCAAAGTTACTTTTATCTATAGGAGTCAAGAGACATTAGATTTAATGAATAATGAAAAGTTAAACTCTCCCTTTTAACTCTTTAAAAGTTAGAAAAGAACTCTTACCAAAGAAGCAGCATCAAGTGGAAGAGTATCTTCAAGTGGTAAAAAGTCTGGAGAATCTCACAAGTCTAAAATCCAAAGTTTAAGCCGTGGTAATATTACACTTGTTCCTCAGATGGTCTCACGTACGATAAGATTTAAGTGGACAAAGAAACAATCACCTGGCAAACAAATGATTCTTGAGAGAGAAAAAAATTAATTATTAGTATCTAGAAAAATAACTAATTTCAAACAATTTTATTGCATACACTAAACATAAAATCAATCGAAAAACTAATTTTCAATTATTATATGGTTTATAATTTCCAAAGCATTCAGGATTAATTTACTTGTAAGAAAGCAGATCCTGATTCAAATCCTTTAAATTCAGTAACAGCACCTAGAATAGAAGAAAGTGCAGTGGGATCCAAAAGAAAATATGTCCCCGTAGCTTTTCTGCAAGGGGGAAAAATATGAAAAAGGAAAGGTAAAGGGGGGGGGACAATGGTGCTTGCATTTGTTGCTGCTACTGCCAAAGTGTCACAGTTGATGATAAGAAAACAAAAGTGTAATTCTTTTTTTTTTTGGGAAGGAGAAAAGGTTAATACATATTGAGGTAAGGCAATACAACCCAGTGATCTTTTGGAATTGCATATGCAAAGCAACTTTTATGGGCTTGACGGCAAGTTTCAGGGATGCCAACTAGGAAATTCACCAATAAATAAGCGTTTATAAGAGCAGACCAAGCAGTTGAATTAACCATTCAGGTGTTTCACTTTTATCGTGGTTTTTCCTATCAGCACTAACCAGCAAGGTGGAAGATAAATGTGTATTATATAGGGGTTACCACTCGTATGATATTCATATAAAGCAAAGAAGCACTAGAATGTAAAATCTGGAATACGAAGAAATAGATTTTGGTTATATTTTCTTCTCTGCTCTTTTCATTTTCCCACCAAACAACAGAGGGGAAGAAAAAGAAAAGGAAAGCATGCAAATGAAGTTGCTGTAGTCAACTCCTGCCTATGAACTAAAGAGGAAAAAAAAAAATCAGTCTGCCAAGCTATGCAACATTGACAAGCCCAATTGCTATCCACCTGTACAGTGTGTGTACATTACAAGTACAATGGACAACAAAAGGCATACTAAGTTCTCGGGTACTCATCCAGATTTATACACTTAAAATAAATATTTCAGAGGAGAAAAAGAAAAATATTGAATCAGATATGAGAAATAGTAAAAGCAAATAACCAAAATAAAGAAAAAGAGAGAAAACTAAAAGAAAGAAAGAAAGAAAACATCAAGACAAGAAAAGAAAGAGGAGTCTATATCTGTCTAATGATATTGTTGACCATGTAGTCCACTCAAACCTGACCAGAAAAAAAGTGCATGGTAGAGGCATTTGCATCCTCAAGATTTTGGTTGTGGATGCATTAGGAAAGCCTTTTATTTAGTGGAAGATTGCATTTCAAAGTACATCTACTCCCTATCCCCCACCATAACATGAATTCCCAGGTTTTATACTTCTATCAAGTTGAGTGCTTCTTATTTATGTTTACTGTACAACTTTGATCCAACTTGACTTCTAACCTCAAAATTTTTGACAGGCTACTCTTATTATGCTCATATCAAGTGGGCAAGATACATCAACATAATATCCCCGCATTTCATGTCGATAGTACAAGAAGGAAGATTTAGATAATTGTGATCTAGAAATCTAGACAGTAGATGCGCTCATGGTTTCACAAATGATACAAAAGTTTACCTAGCATGTTGAGTGTTGAATTTCAGTAGGGTAATTATGAGAATGCAAGATCTTTGGTTCTCTTTTGAACAGTTAGGCATTAGTATTTAGCTGCTTTACTAGGTTCCTTGAGGACCTATTTAAACAGGAATTGCTAAATATAGTCAAGAAACATTTCTCACTTGACTAAAAAGAAAAGGAAAAAAAATGGAACTGAGAACTATTCTTTCATTTTTTTTGTTGAAAAAAAAAAAATCATGTCTTGGATTCTGCTTCTAAAGCTCTAAGTTTGCACCTAATCTTCTTATGATGTCAGCATTTGTCGTACTAAACCTCAATAAATTATAATTTTCTAAAAGAAAGTGGCAATAATTACCACTGGCCTTTTCTAATAAATGTATATTTAATCTTGGACCACAAGAATGCAGCATTTTAAATTTGCCTAGCTTTTTTCAGTAGTGTTTTCATATCTAATCTAGTTCAACAGAGAGAAATCCATAAATTATGCCTCTCTTTTGTGTCCCATGAAGATAAGCATTCAAAATGCATCTTCACAATTATTATAATATTGAGAATTAAAGAGTATTCTACTTGGTGTTGATCTTTCTCTTTTCTCTGCATCAATAATGGATCGTTTTCCATACGATGCCACAACAAATTTCACAATTCTTCATGGATGATCACTTCATGTTAGCTCGAGAGTGATTCACTTTATCCATAAAATGATATGGGAAATAAAAATTCCTCCAGAAAGTTAGTACAATTGTGATTCATAAGTACATAAAATTTCTAACCAAGCTGCTTACAGGAAAATCTGCTAATTAAGCTGCTCTTGCAAGATATTCCTAACTATATACATCTTTCAATACGAAGACACTGCATAGAGGATAACAGATAAGCATACCAGATCAAGAACTTGTATCTCTGAAATCCTAAAACCTACTCAGGGTTACAAACTCGTTCATAGATAGTTTGTAAAGAGTCTCCACCAAAGTGGTGGTTGAGTTATCAACTCTTTGAATGATCTGCTTAACTATGGATATAGAAAAGGCCTGCCCTTGCCCTCCTCTAATTCCTATTGGCTTGATCAAATTTCAGAAAAATTTGACAGACTTAGCTTAGCAATAAAACACCTCTACTTTCAAGATTGACTTCTTGAACACCCATTTCTCTCTTTTGCTTTACTTTAACTAAAATATTTCCCCATTAAAATAATTATACTCCCCATGATACAAACTGCAGCTTTCTCTCTGATGTAAGCATAATATGATTTCAAAATGATTATCCACAATAGATTTTGCAATCCTCAGGATGTATGTGCATAACTGCATGTGACCATGCATGTCATTAGCCATTGAATGGCCACATACATGTGAACAAGCACCATGAATTGTACATTTTCTGAATACATGAACATCATGCCACTAAAAGACATAAACATGATCTGCATGATAATCCAATGGCATAAGCATTCAGCAAATTTCCTACTGCTACTCCAATTTGCCAAATAGTGGGCCCAACTCAAACTTTTCCTAGTCTATAAATTACCTTGACTCCTCAGGCCTTCATCCCCCTTCTAACATTAACTTAACCTACAGCACCTCCCCTCCTAGCCTTAAGTCCTGGCAAATATTTGCTTGGTTCAAGCCATGCAGCCTGGGGAGGTTTCAGGAATCCATTATCTAGTTTCTTCAAACCCATCTCCATATTCAGCTCATTTTAGCATGACCCAGAATAGCCCGGCATTTCAATTAAACCAATTTTCAAATCCATTATATAGCTTTCAAATTCCTTCTCATACTCAAGATTTGAATACACAGTCATCGTGTTTTAGTAGTAATTCAACTTCCGACGAAGCAGAGGAGAAACAGTTAAGTCTCATCAACGAGAGAAAGCAAAGAAGAATGATTTCTAATAGAGAGTCTGCACGTCGATCACGTATGCGCAAGCAAAGACACCTGGATGAACTCTGGTCGCAGGTGGTTTGGCTCCGGAATGAGAACCACCAACTCATAGACAAGCTGAGCCATGTTTCAGAATGCCATGATCGGGTTCTTCAAGAGAATGCTCAGCTTAAAGAAGAAGCCTCAGAACTCCGCCAAATGCTCACTGATATGCAGTTGAGTAGCCCTTACTCTACCTTCAGAGACCTGGACGACGTCCCCTGCAACACAGCTTACCTTAAAGCTGAGTCCTCAAACCAGTCCATCACAGGTTCTATGGATTTGCTAGGCTAAGACAAAGCAGTGTGTTATTTTCTATCTGGTTTCCATATTTTGTTCTTTTTCTTCACTGTGGAAGACAACCAGGCCTTGTCAAGCTTTATGTTGTATGAGATCAAAGAGAGATGGCAAATAACATGTTTCGAACATTTATTATTCTCCCTCTGCATCCCCTTGAAAGATCTCTCTGAAGTTCTTGGACTATTTCTCATTGTAATAACTGCTAATAATATAAAACTTACGTCTTCCTGTGAAAAACATTAATCACTCTTACAATAAAATATCATAACATTCTAATGGAATAACCTGCTGGAGTTGCACCTTAAACTTCATCTTGATCCATTACCAGGCATCAACTTTGAGAAAACTTGATTATGGGCCATCATCTGAGAGCTGGACCAGAAAGAGAGGAAAACAGCAATAACAATAAATACATCCAATTGGAACAAAATTCTGTGTTACTGTATAACATGAAAGTACCAACTCAGTCAGGTGGATTAGAACAGAGCGAGAATGAATGGCATTAGGTGGCGCAGGTTGAATATATGACAGAAGCAAATTTTGGTGGGGTGGGTACCTTTCATAATACAGGGGCTACTATATAAAGAAAAATATATGGAACAGCCATCCACTATCCCAAGTACTATTCCTAGCTTTTTAGCTGCCTTACTGAATTCAATTGCAATGCATTTTTCTTCGATGGCCTGGTTAGAAGACAACAAACGAAATGCTTTCATTTTAGCTCATAAACCAGATCTCATCTCCCCTGCAATTTGCTACTTCCGCAAGAAGACCTGCAAAGATCAAAGGATACAGCACTTCTTTTTCACTATGTACAATCACTGTTTTCCTAGTGTTTTCAAATCATCACCCACAAAAAGATTTTTCTAATCTTGTGTAGAAACATATTGCATCCATATGGACTTCTTCAGAGTTTGTGATTTAGACTATGAAACCCTTGTGTATTTGAATCTAGATCCAACTCAAGCACAATGCCAATGAGTCAAACAAAGTTACCAAACACCCACCTGTCAAGCATTTTGTGGGTTACAAGTCAAGCCTTAAAACTTTGGGAGTCACAGCTCAATTTTATTGTAGAAATCCATTTTCCAGTAATCAATATCCTAATGTCCATATATTTGCTTCTCCTTCCCTCTTTTCTCTCTCCTACTTTATTGATCTTGGATTTATAAACAAATAGTTTATAAAGAGAAGAAAGAATAATAGAAAATAATAAAAACAAGATTAGAAACTGAAAATTACACCCTTAAAATCCATAAAACTGGATGAGGTAGATTAATTCTAATATAAAAAATTGAGTGATTTGTGTCAAGAAAAGTGAGTGTTCAATTTATGGAGCAAAATTCTTATAACCACAATAATCTTCTATTCAATTCCTTCCAGATCTATCATACGAAAGCATTCTAGATTCACTAACTCTAGATGAAGCAAACAAGGCAAAATGAAAACTTTACACCAATGCTAAGGAAATCAGATTTTATTTTGATGTTTTCTAGAGAGTAAATTTCATCATCTCCAAGTCATTTCCTCGATTGATTTTTAATTGAATGGCTAGTTTTTTAATGTCATCTAGCATATGGTTTCTATTTTAAAAAAAAAAAATTGGAGAAGGGGCATACTAGCAGCAAATCCCTTTTTGGGTTATCTATCCCTTGTTTCTGGTTAAGGCAAGAGAAGAAACTCATCATCACTTCTAAGAAGAATCTATGTTTCAGTATTTATCCATCAGCCACAATAATTAACGGCCTGAGAATTGAACACTTTCATGTTTTCATCCAACTTGTCTTCCTAATGATCTTACCATGAGAGAGGATATCAGGTACAGAGGACTAAATCCCCATTTCAAGCATCATCCAAAAAGGAGCTCTTATGCTAGATCCTATTGCAATCTTATATCCCCCGTGGAAGAAAGAAACCATTGAATCTCCATGAGCAACAAGCCAGCAAAATGGGATCAACATCTTCCCCTAGATCATAGCACCATATAAACCCCTTTCAAAAGCTATAAAAAATGGAAAAACTCAGGAAATGTGGACGCCAATTGCAAAACTTATGGTAAGAGCACCAACTTGAATCAGCTGCTATCAATCTGCATTTACCAATAACAGCATAAACTCCTCTAACTCAGATACATGTATTAATCCAAAATTTCAAACCGCGATGCTTTCTTAATTTTTTTAATTCGTAAACATTTCTTGACAAAAATCAGCGAAACAGCCTGTACTCCCATTTCGTCGACCTTCATGATCACTGGTGTTCACCTTTCGGCCAATTAAAGGTGTACAAAAAAATGATATAGGATTACTAACGTTCCACTCCTCTTCATTTAGCCAAGCATTGAATTATCAGAATTCCCTAAAATAGCTTGATTGCAATTAGTTTGAGAATGTCATGGAAAACAACTAACAGAGCTTCAAGATATAGTATAATCTACTATGTGGAAGTAAAATATATAGAAGTAGGTACAACAATGCAAGTAAAGTCATAGATGTGTACCTGAGACCGTGAGGCGGGAAGAGAATGCACGATGAAAGGTCTGTGTTTGGTCTTGGAGAAATTTCGATAAAAAGGAAAGGAAAAGAAAATCTTCTTTTCACTTCCCTCGTCTTTCCCGCGAAAGCTAAGGATGCAAACCCTAAGCCTAAACCGTTATTCTGAGAGGGAAACAAGAGACAGAACGACAGATGGAGGGAAAGCAGTCGATGGGTAATTTTCGAATCTTGAAACGACGACGTAGGGATAGCCCAAAACCGTTTAATGGCCGTTTTCCATGTTTTTAGTAGTTTATTACGAAATCGGACGGACTGTCATGAATTTATGAGGTTTTGGAATTTCCAAGCTTATAACTTCATCATCTGTAAGCTATTGGCTCTTGGGAATAATTTTATACAACAGATTATTAAAAAAAGGGACCAAAAAAAGGAATAGCCAAGTATATTTATTTTTACATGAGCATTTACTATATTTTATACATAATACAACAATTTATTTCAATCTATTTAGTCTAATTTTAGTAAAATATTTAGGATATTTTACTTTATAGTAATTATTAAGATTTTGTAACGGTTCATAACTTTAAAAAAAATAAAGACATTAATTGAATGCGGAAGCGGAATAATACAGTTAGGGTTTATATTTCTTACACTATAATTTAAAATACTCAATAGAATTACGAGAATGTCTTTTATAAAAAAACAAACAGAAATCAAATAAATAAACGAAAAGTAAACAATTAAGCATCATAGGACGACTTTCATTAGCTTTTGAAAGAGTTCGGGCGGTGAACTATTCACAATTCCCTTATTGATCGGATCTAAATCTTGGTCATTTTGATCTAAAATAGTTATGAAATGCTGAGCTACACTATCCCAGTAAGAATATCACACTAATCACCGATACAGAAACTGAATGTTAGTAAAAATCATAAAAACAACCAATTGAACTCTTAATTTAAGTAAATTCATTTATCATGAGTAAAACCATTTATTGCATACTTATCATTGAAAGATTTTCAAAACCGACTTATAGAGACAATAGCTCAACATCAGAATCTCATATTTAAGTAAACAAGAATAACAATTTTTCTTTTTTATTTATCTACTAGTATCCATTGGGGTCCATAAGGATGTCCCACTACGCGTGAACCAACATCCAACTTTGTCAACTAACCGGCCGTCCCATACCCCGTCCGGTATGAGTGCCAAAAACACTATCCCTCAATACCCCGTCTGATATGAAGGTGAAACAGGCTGTCTCCATACCTCATCCGGTATGAGCGCCAAAAATACCAATCCTCGATACCCCGTCCAGTATGAGGCGACGTTTACGGTAGAGTTCCCTATGTACCTTGTTTGTCCACCATCTCCCAGAATATCCAGTAAGGCTACCATTCATTCATTCACTTAACCAATCAATTTTCTGTTTACATTTAATTTTTAGTTTCACAATTTAACCGTAAATCAACTCAAGACAAAAAAATACATGCATCAAGGAAATACAATTGAGTCATTTTACCAATCTTAATATATTATTATGCATTTAAAGCTGTAAAATCAAACAATCGGTTAAATATGACAAACAATAATAAATAATCGGTTCTATCTTCATTAGTAACCTATAATTAATTCTCGAAGTTTTCTAAATTACGCAAAATATCAGATTATTGATAATTAAACTTCAATTTCATAGCAGGGAATAAGGTGAGGGATTCTTATCCAAATCGGTGTCTAAAATATCGAACTTTTAGTTGCGCCTACTAATGGTCCTCAAGTTTACTGATTTTTTTTGTTGAGGTTAAAATACGTTTCACGTACCTAAAAATATCCCAAAAAACTCAAATTCAATGTTAAAAACTTTGTTCAATCAATTTAGGAATTTCAGCACTGTGGTATCGCCGTGCTCCAACGACGGCGGTTTATCTCGAACTGGCAATTTTTGGCCAGCTTTAACCGATTTTAGCCGGTTTTATACTCATCCCTGCTAGAAAATACATTAGGGGACCTTGGTTGGCCAAAAAAAAAAGGTCGAAAAATAAAAACTTACCAGTGGCTGAATTTTGTGGTGCAGCAACTCCGCTAGCTCACCTTCGCAGCTGAGCGTTTTTCTTTGGTCAACCTGTAGAAAACAGAATGGTGAACCCAATTGTGAAAAAATAGCACGAAATAAAAAACGGGAAGGGGCTCATCGGAGGCGAGTTTAGGTTTTGCCCGCGGCGGCACTACCGGGCTTTACTCGCAGTTTCTGTTTCATCCGTCATTTCTTTTGCTCTAATTTATCCATGGGGGTATTCGAAATCAAATTTCAGGCGGATAGAAGAATTTTTACCTTTTTTTACGATCGGAGGTGGCTCCGACGCGTCGACGGACGGCGGTCGGCTCCCTTATCCGGCGACTGGTTTTTCTTCTCTGGTGGGGTTTGGGTTTGGTGTGATGTGAGATATTTATCCTCGTCTTCCTTAAATATGGATCGTTCATCATATTTGATATCGATCGTCCGATCGTGTTTAAAGAAGAAATGAATATGAATCTTTTATCGCGATTTGATCTCGACCGTATGATCATGTTTTAAAAGGGAACGAATTTGGACCATTCATCACATTTAATCGCGACCATCTGATCGCGCCTGAGGAGGGAACGGATTCAGAC